GCCAGTGGGGCTTGCTGAACCACCAGAAGATGGCACTGAGGAAGCCACAGAGGATGAGGACATAGCACCTGAACCCAACTATACCTTTGCCAAGGGATATGGACGGTTTGGCATAGGTTATACTAGACTAGCAACGGCGCTTGGCAATTTCGAGCAAGGGAACATCCAAGCAGAAAGTGCAGTAGTAGCTCAGTGGCTGACCTCCGGGCTACGGGTTGCCATGTCCCGCACAGGGTGGAATCTGCTGTCTCCCCGCTATATGCTGACCAAAGTCCCTGGTGTTGTCCTCAGTGACTACTACTGCCATGGATATCCTTTCACTCCTAAAATGGCAGATCGCCCATACAACCAATATGGCCCGCATCTTTACTCCGAAGATCGATGGGATCAGCTCTGTATGTGGCTCACTGGGAATTCCCAGTTTAGAATTCAACTCGCGGGCCACAAGCAGGCGCTTAGGGACCACATGGGCTACAGTCAGGAAGCCTCCGACCCAAGTAATAAAGCTCGCCGTACTGCCCTCACGGGGCATTATGCCCATCCTGCTTTCAACCAGCTACAGCGAGGGATGTCACCCTACACAACCTTCTCGAAGAGAGCGCTGCCTGTTTACAGTTTCATAAGATTGCGATGCCTTCCCTCACCCGATTACCCCCTGCAGCTCCACGTCTCGATGCCTCGGAGGGTTGCCGTGCGCCAGATTCCTATGTTCCCTGTGTGCTATGCCAACGAGGGGTCAACTCCATTAATCGCTGGCTCTCTTTCTGTCAGGTAGCCCATCTGACATGGATTGCCCTGTGGGTCTCCCCAGCCCCTGAGATTAATTGGCGTCAAGGTGCCTTCCCGCAGTACAGGGGTAGCGCTCAGCTATTTGCTCTTTCATCTGCGGCGGCTTGTCGCTGAGTATGGTGGACTCCAACCTGTCATTGCTTGCCTGCGCATCCGCTCCATCTCGCAACACGTACTTGACCTATGGCAGCGAATCTACCGGTCCTTACCAAGCGCTTTGCTTAGAAACTTTCGCGCCCCGCTCAAGCTAGTGTTGACTCCACCAAACTCAGGCTGTTTTTTTTCCACGAGTACGGACGCCATGTGGGCGGAGTGCCCAGGTCATCATTGAAGGAAAGGAAACACTACATGATGATGGGGAAATAACACGAGCAAACCCCAAGAGGCAAAACAACCCAAACCAAACAAAACCAACCAAAACAACGCAAAAGGGCCAAAGGCCGATTCCCCATCATCCAAAAAGTGTTTCCTCTGTACGGAGGTGAGACCGGTGAGAAAAGATGGCTGCTTACTATCTATGGGCCTGAATTCGCAACGAAAGTCTGTCAAGAGGGTCAGTGCACGAGCGAAGAGCAAGCGAAGCCAATCAAAGGGGCTTCGTTCCATCATCAAAACTGTGACCACACGGCCACTGCATCGAGTGGCAAAACGTGGTAGTTAAGCTTTTCGCCAGGGGCTGATCTGACTGTCAGCAGGTCTGATTCTTGCCAAAGGAAATCAGTTGTTGCAGTGCCGGGCAGGCGGAGGAAAAGTCCCTTTTCGCAGCACAATCCATACAACTGATTGCACAAGCGAAGCGAGAGGCGCATCAAGAGTCAGGCGGTGGAGACAAAGCAACCGAAGAGGCTTGCGGACGAAAGTGCTGCATTCCCCCCCCCCAGGGGAGGTCATCATTGCACCCCTCGGCTCCCAAGAATGTGCCAAAGAGGGGTAAAACGTCCTTCCATGGAGTGGTGCCATCGTGAAGACACCCTCCTGTTACGTGCGAGCTGAACTGAGTGATGATGACCGCCGCCACTTTTGTTTAAGAAGGCAGCTGTATGAAGTCCACTGGCGACCTTGCGCCAGGCGAAGAGTGTTTGGCTTGTGCTTTGAGACACTGAAAAACCACTGATGTAAGCCGCAATAAGGAGTAGCTAACCATGAGTGGCTGTAGCAGGGGTTTTGAGTGCTAGACATGACCAGTTGTTTGTTTTGATGCCAGGGAATGCAGGGTTGAGACGTCAGGAAACGACAGTTTGAGACTTCAGATGCTGCAGAGTTTTCGACACAGTTGTGCAAAAGGGTTTGAAACATCTTCTTTTGAGGGTTTGTAACGTGTTCGAGGGTACTAGAACAATCCTTTCTCTTCTTAGCTAAGAGTGGTTTTGGAATCAGTTGTGGACATGTTTGTGGTAGTCAACTTTTCAGCTAGCAGCTCGTGTGATTCAAGTGCTCATTGTGGTTTGCTTTGCCTCAAGCTGATTCAGACTGCTTCGCACGTTCGAGCTTTGTGATTTGTATTTTCGCCGCCAGTGTGCAAGATGGCTGACATGGGGAACGCCGAGCCTTCCATGCCTGCTGTGGTTGTGGCCGATGAGGGTTTGACCGAGTCCATGACGCCTGTTCGCGTTGATGATGGTCCATCTCCGAAGGCCCGTGGACCAGCTCCTCCTCGACCAGAGAACCCAGTGATTGAGAACCTTGAGGGGAACACGGTGCATGGTGTACTGTTGGGTTCAGAAGACCTGGAAAGCGTGCTGTTAGACATACAGATGAGCCGGGCAGAGGGTGGCGAACAGCTCACGCGGACCCTATCATATGAGGTGTCCAAATCAGAGGCCGAACGCCGCAAACTCTGTGTTGGAGGGCCTTCACAAGCTTCAGAGCGATGTGGAGTGGGCGCCAGGGTTTGAATCCTGGTCTGGATTTGGATTCCATTGTGATCCCTCACGACCGCGGCGTCCATGAAGGCAAGACAATCACTGAGCTGAGGATCATGATCCAGGCGTCAAATATCAGTGATGGAGCAGGATTTTGGAGCTACATCTATTTTGAACGGCTGCTCCAGCCGGAATCCGATATGGCTGCGGCTGCGCTTTCAGATCTACCACGGGCCAGCTCAGAAGGCAGGTTGAGGGAAAGAGACCATCTTCAGGATTTGTTGAGATGGGCAATCGGCAGATTTGCTCGATTGCGAGATGTCACGGGAGACCTGACGAACTATCTATCGACGGTGTCTGAAATGGAAACTTCATCCAAGCAGCGCATGGAAGACTTGGGGATGAAGATCCTTGAGATGGTGAATGGCATCGTCGGATTGAGTGCGTCAGTTCGCCATGTCAGCGAGGAGACTTCGAAAAACCATCGAGCTGAGGTTAAGCACCTTGAAAACATTGCGTGGCAGCTCGGTGGCAGCGGCAAAAACATCAACACCAGCCTTAAAGTGACGCTTACCTCCTCAGGGAAAATCATGTCGCAGGTGGCAACCAAGTCATCCAACAGACGAAGAACCAGGAGGAGACCAATAAATTGCTGTTGGCAATGAACGACCATCTCAAGAAGCTCATTGACATCCAGGGGAAGAAGATTGAAGAGCCCAAGTCGGGCTCGGCAGCCTCAAAATATCCTCCACCTCCACCCAATGTTGCGGGAAGTGGAGGAGCTGGATCGACAGTGCCACCAGCACCATTGACGCCTACTGTGCCAGTTCAGCCAAAGTTCCAGTACCTCCTCAGTCAGGAACGGCGTTTGGATCTGGAGCGGTGTTTGGATCTGGACCGCCATTTCTGCAGCCAGCAGGGTACATGACCGCGACTTCACCAGCTAGCGGACCAGCAGGAAGTTTGCCCACACCTGCTGGGGCATGTGGGAGTGGAGTTGCCTCAGGGTCCATCGAACCGCGATTCGAGAAGACCTACAAACGCATGAAGACGGCCGATGGACATTGGGTCCTTGTCGAAGTTGAGGGGCCAGAGATTTAGGTCTGACTCCAAGTCTTTTGAAGAGCGGCGTTGGCAGGGGTTGTAGCAACCTAAGCCATCTGAGTCCCAGAAAGCTCTCCAGCACCACGAGATTTGAAAAAGGGGTTTCTGATGTTGTTCAACTTGTTCATTTCTGTTCAATTTGACCTTTCGAGTTAGCTTGCAGAATGCTTCTTGCTGTGTGATGTGTGTCTTGTTCAGTCTTGCAAGCAGCCAGGGTTTTGCAAGCAGGCACCAGGTTTGGAACCCAATGGATTGTCAGGGACCAAGATTCACTTGCGATTCAACTGGTCTTTGATCGATGTTGTTCTTGTGGATGATGCCCAACAGTAACGAGGGATTGTAGTTAGCAGGGCTGGCTAGACCTATTTGTTTACTGTGGACTTTGGACTGGACGACATGGCAGTGATTCGATGTCAAGTTGATTGGTTGCAGTTGAAGGTAAGTAAAAGGGTTTTGAACTCAAGATGTGCTTCAAAAGATGTCAGTCAAACAGTAACCCAGGGCTTGTAGCTAAGGGGTTGAAGCTAGACTTCATTTTCGCTTGCTGTTTGAAGCTTTGTGCACTTTTGGACTTGGCAGGTTTTGTCATGAGGAGCGTTTGTCGTTTTGACCTGTCAGGTGTTCACTTGAAACCACTTTGGTTTCAAGGTCCCAAGGATGACATAAGCATGAGCCAGGAGCTAGCTCTGTGAAGCTCCTTCAGGCCATGCTGTCTGAGGGACCTTGACCTTTGGTTGGTTGTCTCGCTTGGTTGAACCTTGGTCGATTGGTTGATCTTGTTTTGAACTTGCTTGAAGCTTGTCGTTCTTGATCTGTTGACGCTTGATCGACCTGGAGACCAGTTTGGAACACAGGAGTTGAGATCTTAGTTGATGCTCGAACCTTAGTTGCTCCGAGAAAACGAATTGAAGAGAAGAAGAAGACAGGAAGACCAGGAGAAGGTACGAGGTGACCCAAGAAGGGGTGTGAAAAGTGTGGGTAGCACGCCTGTACAGTGTGTGGATCACCTAGTGCCTCTTTGTAGTGGAAATTTTCGTTTTTCTGTCCTTGGGGTTGGAGCTGAGTAGGGATCTTCTTGGAGTGTGTTCTCTTTGACCACCTTAGCAGGACTAAGTGGAATGTGACCAGAAGTGGCTAGGAGCATGTCTAGAGAAGCCCTAAGTATAGAGCGGTAGTGCTTTGGATGAGCTGTGTATAGCCTAGCTTTGCTTGAGAGTGTTTTGAGATGCTTTCTTGTACTTTGAGTATGTTTTGGACGACTGTGACCAGTCAGACCTCTTCAGAGAAGAGTGGATGAACAGAACATACAGTCAAACCGACTGTAACGTTTGGCTCAAGAGCGGGATTCAAAAGGGGTCGCACCTGCTTCCGTGTTTTCACAAACTTGGGACAGGGAACTGGGGAGGGGACTTGGGACAGGGAACTGGGGCAGGGGACTTGGGACAGGGAACTGGGGGCAGGGAACTGGGACAGGGAACTGAGGGAACTGGCGACAGGGAACTGGGGGCGGAGGAACTGTTCCTCGATTTGTTTGTTCGTACCAGTTCCATGCTCCTCTATCTCTGCGTTCTCCTTGGCCACTCCCATGTTGATGGGGCCTGTCAGTACGCTCAGTACGCTCCGCACGCTCTGTTCTGCGTGTTCTGGCAGGTGGCTGAGTTGTATTCATTTTCAGCAAACGTGAAATATCTTTCATGAATTCCAGTCTGACTTGCCCATTCCTGCCACGTTCCGGCGTGGCTGACTCATGAAGTATGGCTGCGTACAATGTAACGTGAGGCCTTGTCGAAAGCACCTCACTCTCACTCAATTTCACTCTGGCTTTCACTCTCACTCCCGCTCTCACTTTCACTCTCACTTACTCACTCACTCACTTACTCACTTACTGACTAACTCATTCTCACTCCCACTCCCACTCTCACTCTCGCTCTCACTCTCATTTTCACTCTCACTCATCCTCACTCTCACTGTCACTCTCACTTTCACTCTTCCACACTCACCGCCACCGTCACCACGATCCCCAGCTTCATCACCACCATCCTCTCTGGACCCCAACACGTCTAGATCTCTAGACGTTCTTCTTATAGACCTCACACGCACTGTTTGGGGTCTCTTGCCGGGATAATCACGAAAGCTAGCATCAGCTAGCTGGAGTTGTCCTTGCTTTCGCACGTGAGGGGCTGGAATCCTCGAGATCGCCGCATCACGTGAAAACTTCATATGTAGAGGGCCCCGCCCCCCGCGCGGGTTCAACCCGCCCCTGGGACGCCTCCACTTTGCTTCAACTCCTCCGTGGAGCTTTTGGGGTACGATGCAACAGATTCAACAGATTCACAAGCTAAGGTTGGCTGCGGTCCGTGTGTCTTACTTGTTCACAACGTTTTACCTCATGAGCGAGACCTTGTGAGCCATCCCTCCAACAGCCACATGCCTATGAAAAGAAAATTGCCTCACCCCGCTTGATGTCGAGCAGCATTGGAACACCCCACCACTGTCATTCATGCCTGAAATTGATGCCAATGTAATTGATGTGGCAGAAATATTGGTATCAATGTTTGGGAAGGTTGAGGAACGTGCCAATGTGGAGGCTTCCACTTTAATACGCGGGAAGAAGAAACACAAAAATCGAGGTGGACCATGCCTTTTACATGCTTTGCGATTGTTCTCCTCGGCTTGATTCATTCGGACGGTCAATGGGGTCAGAAATATCAATTTTTGATCGGCCCAGTATTGTGTTTCATGATCTATTCTTGCCTGTGGGACAGCTTTGGAACGACACTCAGTTTCTGCTTGTTACAGTCTTCGTATCCAGGGGCTGCTTGACACAAAACCTGTTTGTTTCCAGACGTTTGTGGCCTTGATTTGGAATTTTGTTTGCTTGGGAGTGGGAACAATTTTTGTGCGAACATGGTCACAGTCACAGTACCCATAGCCATGGAAAGTGCGACGCGTTTCTTTGGCAATGGACTTGCCCTCATGCTTTCTGTCGTAGCCTTTTGTATGCTGGCCGCGCCACGGTTTCCACAGCCCATACCCGTGCAAGGAGGCATAGGGCATAAAAAAAATGCAAAAAACAAAACTCTCATAATCGGCCGGGGGCGCCCAAGTGGCTGTCGACGCCACTTGTGAGCCCAGTCTCTTCTCCAAAAGTGGCTGTCCCCACCTGCAGTGTGCCAGTGAGCCAGGTCGCAGAAGTGGAGGTGCGCAAGGTGCACAAGTTCCAACTCCTTCGGGCTTGCCGACAGAAGGTCGGCCGTTCACCAAAAGGCAAGCTTACTCCAGCGCCTGGATGCGCCTGGTGTGTTTTGTGGGCCCTTTCAGGCGCGGTCTGCTGTGAAGTTGAGGAGGAACCCAGCGGTTCAATTGTGAATATTTTGGAGCCTCGGTCGAGAACACTGTGGCCCACGGCGTACTTGATTGGCCCACAGGCCTAAGTGGACCTCAAGCCGGCGAGCCGAAAGATGCGCTGCGCCACTTGGGGCCGTGGCCATTTTTGCAGCGCTCCCAGGGCCCATCCAGAACTGGATCATAAGCAGGGTGATGTCTGCCAACTTGGCCTAGCCCCTTGTCAGCAAGCTCGGCTCCAACTGTGTTTGGCGCGTGGGCACCCAACCTACCTGTTGGACAGTGTTTGTCTAGAGTGCTGATAGTCGGCGCGTTTTGCTGGCAAGTTGCATGTTGATTTTTTTTGACCAAACACCAGGAGGCTTCAAAGTGGCACAAAACGACGGTACTTACACGCCTCCTCCAGGGTTACGCCTGACTCCCTGCTACCTTTCGTTCACCCCCTCTTCTCTCAAGTTGCGGGTGAGTGGTGTGTTCTTTTCCACTAGGTGTGCGCCAAGTTCGCAATGCGTCCTGTTGCTGCTGTCGCGACTCACCACGGCACTTGTCCCAGGGAGCGGCTTCCATTGGGCTTTCTAGTGTCCCACCACCCCGCAGCGCGGGACAGCGCTCCCCCCTCAACTCCTGACCCTTCGGCGGCTTGGGGGGTAGGTACGAGGTAGCAGTCGGGCGGGCTGGACAGCTGCAGCTCGGGGGAAGAATTTGTTAAAGGGGACTTCTTCAGTGTTGTGGAAGCGAACAGGTCCATGCAACCAACAAAAGCATGACTGGGAAACGAAGGGCCGAGTGCGACCGTGACATGCAGCAGCGACGTGAGAGTCAAGTGACCCGGCCAGGCCGAGAGTCAAGTGATCCGGCCAGGCCACACTTCACTTGCTAAGTGTGAAGTCCGGCCCTCAAAAACTGATTGACACCAGGTCAGCATTTGGGGCTGACCAACGGCAAAACCTCGTTTTTTTACAGTAAATGTTTTTGGGTTTGGACATGAGGAAAAACATGCAGCATCGGCCAAAGTGGCGACAGACAGGTTGATTCCAAATTCACATCTTTTGGAGGTAGCGACCATGTGATTGCGCATTATCCCTGGTAGTAGTGCAAAAGACGCGCAACGGCAGCGGTTCGGTATGCCGGCCCTGTGGCGTCAGAGGTCTAAACGACATCCCCCGCGTGCTGTGCCACCGTGTGCGCTTAGCCAAACGTTCTGTGGCCTGCGGGTCCACAACACTACCTTGAGTAGTGGTGTCAACTGTTTGTCAATTTGATATTGCCCTGGACACTGCCCGCGCCATGACAGCCCCGCCTGCCAACGCGGGCAAAGGCGCGCCCAGCGGACGACCAGCAACCCTCCGCTGTTCGAGGGCGAGCTGCCTGGTCGTGTGAATTCGGCTGACGTTTAAAAAAAACTTCCACCCAAAGCAAAAACTGAGTCAAACACTGGTTTGTATGCCTTGCTTGGTTCTTAAGTATCAGTGGGACAGCTGGGAAATCTGTTTGATTTGGCCTAGGTGACAGTCGATTTGGCACGTAGTGCATATGTTCACACTGGGCAAATTCAGGCCCAACACATTTGAGAAGGTTCGCACGCCGCTTTGCATGGTAGCGGGCCTGGTCATAAGAGCCGGGGCCCGCTAGGCCGCTAGGCACTACGACCGCCACTACGTGACCACGTGCGCCCTTGGTTGGAGGAGGCTCCAAGTGCCAGAGTCATTTGGATCTGTGAACTCCTGATCCTAGCATGCTTGGCAGGGGCCAAGCCGTGGAAGTTGGTCTTGGAGGTCAGGGCGGGCGACAAAACCATCTCTTGTACTCGAGGAGGAAGGGAGAAAAAGGAAAAAATAGACCTATAATAAGAGAAGTGGTTCCTAGCAGTTGGTCCATTGTGGAACGGCACGAGGAGAAGAGAGAGGAGAGCCAGGGAGGCGCACTTTGTGCAATTGTGGCACATTGGAAGTTCTGGGAGCTGGGGACCTATGGCGGGCAGAACTTCGAGGAACAAAGCAGTGAAGGAGGAACTGATTGGAGCGCAAAAAGTTTTATCATAAAACGGTGGCTGAAGACGGTGTGAAGCTCTTTTCATCGGCCGCAGAGATGTTGACAGTGACAAAAACTATGAACATCCACCCACCCATCCAAACCTTAACCTACCAGGCTGCTGCCAGTACCACTGGATCCTCTCCACGCCCCCCATGGTCACCACTGTCACCACTTTACTTCCTTAGTCATCTCTAGCTTTGGACAATACCACACCCCTACAGCCGGCCCTATAGCTGGGCAAGCTCTCAGCAAGCCCTTTTCCAGCATCCCCTGCCACTTGCGTAGTTGGAGCACAGCACCTGCGCTGCACATTTGCACATGTCTTGTCACAACGCGCTGGGGTCAAACAACTGGACCAACAGCCGCAGGCCACATGGTAACGCCAGATCATTTTTGCCACTGTGCTGTAGGCTGTAGTTTGTCTGTGTTCTCCGATTATTCGCATTAAAGTCTCTCAGCGCTGCACAAGAACGGTGCGCCCACAAGAGCTACAAGATGAATGCAACAGTTGGTCGTTGGTTGGTCCATGAGTCCATTGGTTAGTAGGTTTGTTTCATAAGTTCATAAGTCTGTGACTTTCTGTGACTTCTATGTTTTTAAGAGCTCTTTCAAAACAAAGAACCGAGAACCAACAGCATGTGGAAATGGGTAAGGTCGGTAATGAACAAGTAGGTGGCATCTGGCATCTGTTACTGTTATTGTTAGACTGTTAGGCTAAGGTTAAGTTAAGCCCTCCTCCAGGGCCCGCATCCAAGCTTGTAGCCACACGCGCAAACGGTCTCTCTGGCAGTTGAGAGAGGCTATGTCAGTGCAACTGCCCCCCCAGGGCTTCGCACTATTTGCAACAAATAGCAAACAACAACAACAACAACCACATATGACATGTGAAGATCCATTGAGTCGGTCTAAGTCACAGTCTAAAGTCTAACAGTCTAACAGAGTCTAACAGTCCAAGAGTCTAACAGTGTTAACAGTCTAACAGGCTCTGGAAACCTAGCAGTTACTAGCAGTTCCAGTTTCAGCGAACCAAGTGTTTGGCGTGGGCTGGGGCAGTGTTTGAAAACCCGAGCAGTGATGTCACCTCCTCACTTTTCGCTTCCACAGAGGTTGACTTCGACTTACCCGGAGCAAGGGCGCCACCTCCCAGAGGTGGCCAAAACGACAGGGAGGAGCCAGAGCTTTTCGTCTTGGTCTTCTTGTCTCCCTCTTGCGGACTATTTGTCCTGGTGCAAATCACTGGCGCCGGCGAAGAAGATTCAGAGGCTTTGTGAAGCAGTGCGTTGATGGCCTGCAAATCAGTTTGATGACTCAATGCCGCAATGACTCCATGACTTCATAGCCTCATAGCTCATGGCTCATGACTCCATCCATACACAACCAACAAGTCTATATAATGATTCTAATGATTCAAAAACATAACAAGCAGACTGAGCAGTGCAGTGCAGTGAAAAAGCGCTGCCATTGCCTCACTGCGCAATGTGCCCACAATGTAGTCAAGCTGGACGGATACTGGTTTCTTCTGCCTGGGTAGTTTTCACAAGTTCAACTAGTTCACTTCACTTCACTAGTCTAGTACTAGTCTAGTACACATTGTCACACATTGTTTATTCATTAATTGATCGCACACGCACAGGTGAGTCAATAAGAACACGTCGAGTCTTGAATCTTTTAATTATCTATCTTTGAAATACTTGCAGTGCTGTATGACAGCACTGTGATCAACTTCAATCCGAGTAGCAAATCCGTGAATGACTCGATCACACTTTCCACTGTGGTCACGCAGCAAGCCTTGCTCGCCTCAAAGCCCCCTTTCATCATCCACCATGGATGCGGCATCAGGTGCGTCTGCTTGTTGGACTGCTCACCATGAAGGTAGTACGTAATCTCCATACCGTTCTCCCAGGTTGCCTTTGCCACCTGTGGTCGCAGTCGCAAGCTGTGTTCAGTGTTCACAGTGAAGACAACCGTGGCAGCGTTGGGTGTTGGCCGTATTGCACTGCACTATCACTATTGCATTACACTACAAACAGGCCCAGGCACTATGTATGAGACTGACTGACTATATACACAAACATGTTTTTTGAACAACCAGTGCTGCCAGAGCCTTCAAGTTTTTCCACGAAGCTTCTGTGGTCACCGTGCCACATACGTAGAAACGAAGGAACTTCTCTGGGTCATCGACCTTGCTCATGAACGAGTTGCACTGGTCCTTGTCATGGTAAAGGGCTGCCATCTTAGGGACATCCAGAAGTGCTTGAGTCCCCTTCACATCCGGCTTCAGGAGTGACAAAGCATAGCTCTCCGCCTGCCTGTGTCAGAACAAACAAATCATTTGAATTTGACAGCATTCTTGTCCACCTGTCCACTGAACTTCCACTCAGCTCAACAAAGGCAACCAAAGCTAAACAGCAACCTAAAAACAAAATGCACTGGTGCGCAAACTAAGCACACAGTCTTCCTGAGCAAAGACATCTCGATGTGCTTTTGGATATGCAAGACGTTGCCGATATGGAAATCATTTGAGGTTGAGTCTGAGGTCATCTCATTCAGCCGATAGATTGCAGCAAATGAGGGCACATCATTATCATCCTCCTCGCTGGCCTTTGCAGGCTTTCCTCCTCCTTTGCTTGTTGTTCCCTCCTCCTTGACAAGTTGCTGGTCTCCAGCCTGGCGCTTTTGAGGACATCCAAAGATGCTGTTGGGGTCTGGAATCAACTTCACGTTCATCAATGTCTCTGAGACTGACTTCTTTCCTTTGGAATAGTTGCTGGTCGCCTGCGAGAGGCAACTCGCCCAGGCTGCTTGCCACTCATTGAAGCGCCCATCAACTGCCAAGCTTGAACTCGGAGAAAGATGGAACCCTGCTTCTGCTGACATCAAGTACTCCGTTGCATCTTCATTATCCGCAGTGAGCCAATCCAGCACATCCTTGAAGGCGGCTGAGTTTGCATCTAAGAGGGTCAGCAGGCCATCCTTTTTCTTCATGAAGTGTTTCAAGCTTTGCAAAAGGTATTGGCACCTGGATGTCACCATCAGCAACATCACTGGATCAGAAAGAGCAAATCCACCAGTCTCCTTCTCCTTCATCATGAACTTGGCCTGTTTGCCCAAAATTGCAACGGCATCTGGCTCCTGACCACAATCAGAATCAGACTCAGTGACTCAAGCTGAGCTTGAACGGAAAAAGCTGGAAGACTGGAAGACTGGCAGAATGAATGCACTTTGGACCAACAAAACACAGTCCAAGTCAAAGTCCAAGACAAAACACACGCACAGACACACACCCAAGCTTGTAGACTTGTAGCCACTTGTAACCCCCCTGCCTTCTCAGTGAACTTCTCGTGCTCCTCAGATGCACGCTTCCGTCTCTCATGATAGGCTGCAACATCCGACTCAACCTTCATGAGGCAGCTGCTGGCCAACACAGGCACCGCGATGGGCACGCATTCTGAATAGCGGAGGCAATCAGAAGCGCCCCACACAAAGTCAGCAATGGTGGTGCTGGAATCATGGAGCGGACATTCGGCCGCATCCCATTCCTCACAGGTGCACCCAGTTCCAGTCATCAGCTCTTTGAGGAGCTTGCCAAATCCTGGATGGTTCTGGACTTCATTGGAATTGTTCAACTGCACCCAGGACTGGCATGCCTGCACAACAGCTTCGTTCTTGAGAAGAGACTTCAGAACAAAGGCAGGGTCAAGCTTGGAGTTGGAGCCATCAACATTGGTCTTCTTCTCCTCCTCAGCTGCTCCCACCATCATGTCTGAGAAGACTTGGTCAATCCCGTTGGTGCCCCTGCCCACAGCCTTCCGCAGCAGGGATTGAATTGCGGGCCGTACCTGGAGGAGGAGCTTGGAGCAGGAGCCAGGAGCATTCAAATTTCCATACAAACAAACACTGCACTGTCATTGCACTCACTGCCTCACTCTCACTGCCATCACTGCAATTCAAAACCACTACAGATTCGAACTAGCAAATGTTCATATGATGATTCTGATGACAAAACATTGAGTTTCAAATCAAAGTTGAACCGGGCAGAAACCACATGACATGACTCGAGTCAAGCCTTGCTCCAATCTTTCTGGTACTTGCCATTGAGCTGGATGCCACCAGTGAAAGCAAACCGCAATGAAACCTGGATTGCCTGCGCAATGGCGATGCTCCGTGACGAGGAACCGTAGCTCTCAAAGCCATCGCTAACGCTCTCTCCTGGCAAAGCCGATGCTTTCTTCACGGCAGACAAAACATCATCAAGCCACTTCCTTTGGCGATGGCCGCCAGTTGCAGGCATCACAATGTCTGCTTCCAAGTCTTCTGCCGTCTCCACGCCACCCACACTATCAGGCCCAGGCCTTGCCGTAGCTTTCGCTTTGGCCTTGCCCTTTGCTTTGGCTTTTGCCGCTTTCTTGGGCTGAAAGTCAGGCAAAGAAGCAGCCTTCCTCTTGGTCCCTTGCCCTTCCACAGGAGCAGTCACCGCCGACGCAGCCTTCACAACCTTCTTGACAAAAATGGAACCAGCCATAATGACTCCCAACTTCTCTTGCGCCTGACACATTTGCTGGGAGTCCATACCTTTGCTGAAAAGGAGCATAGGGCAAGCGGTAATCCCAGCAAGTGAAGTTGACCCATCATCGGCTTTGCCGGCTTTGCTGGCAGCATTTGACACTGAGATTGGTGGTGTGTGACCATCATCTTCCTGTAAATGAAGAAGAGGCACCTCCCAGCAACAACAAACAGTGGTTGCAGCAGTTGCGCAAATTGAGGCAAATGACAATGCACGACTGGACAACTTGAGTTTGAGTACAAGTTCGAGTACAAATCCATAATTTCAGCACATGTTGCATAAGTCAAGTACAGTACAAATCCACAATTATTATTAACGCAGCTGGCAGCTGAGGCTGGCACGCACAGCTTGGATATCTCCATCAAAACGTAGCCAAGGTCTTCCGCATGATTACCACCAGCAAAGTTCTCTAAGCAAGAGCCGAATGCATTGATGTTGCGAATAGGCATCTCTGCAGAGGCCATGTCAGAAGACAGAAAATCAGCTTCCTTTCCAAAAAATTCGCACCACTCATCGAAGATTCTGAAAGCTTTCAACTTGTTCTTCAAGGCCTTTGCTGTTTTGTAGTTGTCGGCTGTGTACTTCTCCTAGCAACAAGTGAGTGAGATGCATTGATTGATGCGTTGTCGAGTCCATTTGTCTATCAATCATATCATATCATCGCCGCGCTCATCACTGGACCAAGAACAAGAACTAAGAAGTAAGAACAGCAGGATGAAGGCCAGGCTAAGCACATTCACATTTCTGTACATAATCATAATCAGTCAGTCTGTGTGAGTCAGCCTGTCAGTCCCCATAGTCCCCATAGTCATATGAGTCATATGAGTCATATGGCATATGGTCTTGAAAACCCAAACAGTTAGTCTGTCCTTGAACTGGCTCCCTGCAAGCCAAGCTTGGAACTCACTCCGAATGTCGACATTTCGATTGGTCATGCCCTTGCGGTCCATGTAAGCCTGCCAGGCCTTGTCACACAAGCACAGAACAAAGGATTGCACAGATTGCACTGCACTGTGCCAATTGAATGATATATATATATATATTCAGTATTTAGAGTATTTGTCAAATACTCTAAATATCTATCTATTATGTACTGTGTTGTGGTTCTCTTGTTATTTTGCTTCTTGTTCTCATACGTCATATGCGGCACATACGACTACCATGGGAAATGAATGACATGAGACAATCTAGGATTCTAGGATGAGGATGTTAACTGGCAACTGAGTGGCATCTTCCACTGATTGAACGCCAGACACCAGCTCCAAGAATGAAATCTTGCCACCTCCATGGAATTGATTTGCCAGGTCGGCTAGGAACCTTGGCGTGCCACAGTTTGCGCGAAGAAGAATTAAGTATTGTGTGTTTGTGTCTGTGTTTGTGGCAGCCATACAATATCTTTGTAGTATAGTGTTCAAAGTTCTTATTCTGACAAAATACACACGAACCGACCGACAAGCGCATGCAATGTTTAAAGGCTCAAGTTTCAGTCGATCAGAAACTTTCTGAATCAGAATCAGAGAAATCCCGTATTCATATACAGCAAGATTAGATCGGTTAGGCCTTGTGAAGGAAGTGCATGCCTAGCAGCGTCAGAACGTCGTCTGGTGTTCGATTCGATAACACTCGAACATTGCGAAACCCGGCTTTCTTTGAAGCCACAACCTGTGAGTTAGTTGGTGCCTCTGCGTGCGCATCATAGAAAGCTTCGCTCCTTAGAGAGAAGCAGTTTGGAAGGTGAATAATGAAAAGTTGAGTATTGTATTGATTCTCATATTCTCATATGACCGCAAGGCCGCAAGGCACCCCAAAGGGACTGCAACTGGAACTTAAAGATAGGGATAAATGGATAGCGCAGAGACTGCGGCAGAATGAACCAAGCTTCAATGTTCCATAGCTGATTGCCAAGTATGGCCCTGATTGCCCTGGAGCCGGCCTCGAAGAATTGAAGATTCGGGTCAATTGAAGAGTCTTGGCAGGAATGCAATCCCAATGCTGGCCCAACAAAAACCTAACTAACAACTATACCAAGCAAGAAAAACTCTATCATTTCTCCTCTCTGCAATATGTGTTGCGTTTGCGTGTTTGTTTGCGCAATCTTTGACTGGCCGGTTTCTGCAGTGAGTTCAAGCAAGGCACTCAACCAACCATGGCTCCCCACGGGTTCCAAGCATAATGCCATGCTTCAAGATCCCCCTCTTGTACCGCAGTCGAATTGAGTCTTGCTTCCTCGAGTTGACCGGGTGTCTCGCAATGTTGATGGTGTCGCCTGGCCCAAACCAAGGAACTGTTCGGCCAGCTTCGACCTGACCATCACGTGGTGGCAGCAACTTGCACTGGATGGAATCATGAAATCACTGACGTGGGCAGAACATGGGAAGAAAGTCAGAATTCATAGCTGGGCAAATCCTATTAACTAACCTATTAACATAAACAACATCATATACAAGTTGCAGTTGTAACTTTGCAACGCTGTGTTGACTAATTGAATCGATTAGTGAATAAGTACTGTGACTGTGACTCATACCAGCGGCCAGGCCCAGGCCCATGCCCTGCCTCGTATGTGGTGAAGATCTGGTCTTGTAAGGATCGCCCGGAAAGCTTGCCAAACCGCTCCTCCAAAGAGCGGTTCCCATAGAGCATCTCCTGAGCAGCCTCTAGGCCTGGGCCTGGTGCGGTCTTCTTGGACATGGCTGCCAAAGACCTTGACTCGACTCAACGTTGAAATTGCCACATAAGCAAGAGGGTATGTAAAGTATGCGCCGTATGTGCTATGTAATATATTTATATATAGATTAGGATTTGCTTATTACACCGGCCATGAGTTCATGAAGTTCATGAATCCCTGAAAAACAAACATGAGTCGTTCCAGAACAGCCTGACTCAGCCTCAGCCTGACTATATACTGCAGCTTGCCCACTCATGCATGTGCTTAAAGACGTTCAAAGAATGCTTGAATGCTTGCCTCTTTCCTTATTACTACCTTACTTATCCTTGACTCCTTGACTCATTGACTCCTTTCCTTACTTATATAGTTAGTTCAATGTTCCTTCTGCACGGACTGAGGAGCTAGCGGTTCCAAGGATTCCAAGACCAAGAACAAGATCACGAAGATCAGCGCAGTGAAATCGCACGGTGCAATCGCTCCAAACGAAGCTGGGCGGAATGTATTGAGCCAACGTGGCCCGATCACAGGACACTGGACTCGACTAGAGTGCTGGACTAAGGACTGACTGGTTTGAATCACAGCCGGGCCCAACAGCCAGCTCATGAGATAGGCTGAGATAGGCATGTGCACTTCGATCATTCAACTTTCCATCCATGAAGAGAGTGAGTGAGTGAGTCAGTGAGTCAGTCAGTGAGTAGGTGGGTAGCGCTGGCACTGAATCGATTCATCGAATTAGAAAAGCAATGAATAATCATTGCGAGCTTCAATCTATTTTGGCCACTCTTACACTTGTCTTGTCACGGTCGCGGTCATCTCCTCCTACCCAAAAATACATGCATTCGATACGATATGATCCAAGGCCAAGGCTATGGAAGCCTGTCCAGTGGTCACAACTCCTTTGCGAATTCGATCGACTCCGTTCAGGCCGACTGCTTCGACTGATGTTGATTGGATGTTAATGTTGCACTTGGTGACCTCCGAATACAAACAATTACTTTCTCAGTCTTTGAGTTTTGTTCGATGTCATCGACACATAGCACAGTAAAAAGCAACAAGTAACAAGTAAGCGAAAACTTTGAAAGAAACAACATTTGGAGTACCATGTGCACTGTGCACTGTACACTGAACCATTGCACCATTATGATCATGATAATGCCAAGCAAAGGGAGAGCACGTATGAACAGGATGCTTGCCCAGCATACAAGTCACACAAGCCAAACAAACAAGCGCAAGCGCTGCGCTACAGACTACAGGCTTACAGGCTGTTCACTTCATATTCTCAGCTGCCGGTCCCCCTGACTGTTGAAGCAAGCAGTGAAACAGTAGTGTTGAAATCACTGGAACACTGTCAACAACTAGGACAACAAAACTATCCGGAATCCTGAGAACTAACCCAGCAGCGGCGTGAGGCAAACCACAGCCTCACAGCCACAGCCGGCACAGCCTGCCTGCAGATCCATTACAAAGCAACGCCGGCAGCACACAGCCCGCTGTTCAATGCTTGATTCGCTGCTCAGCATCAGTCTGACACAAAGCACATTCATCTCATGCCCCACCTGAGGCAGGGCAATGAATGCGAACACGCCGTGCCACCCTAGAAAGCAAACAGCTCATGGCCCCACTTTGTGCCTCCTCACTTTCTATTTGGGTGATCGAAAACAAGATCGCAATGGCAACTGATTGGACATGCATCGCGTTGCCCATTTGTTGCATGCGGCTTGTTCGTTCACACCCTACAAACATCCTGCCCTTGGCAGCAAAGCTACACAAAGGCACACCGCCAGTCAAGCCAGCATATGCTGGAAAGCCTTGAGCAAATGCCGCTTCCGTGCTGGTCATGAACCGCTTGTGCCGATCCGACCTTATAAGCAAAGCATGCAGAAGACTACGATTGATGAAAGTGTTGTTTTAAGTTGACTGTTGACTCAGACTGTTGACTGTCACGTTGACCGGCCTGAATCCTAAAGCCTAAAGGCCTAAAGAGCCTAAAGTCAGCCAGTAGGTCCGGTCATAGTCATAGTCATGGTCATGGTCACCACGGTGCAATAAAAATAAAATTGGCTCTAAGTCAAAGCCAAAGGGCCACAAGACTCCTGCATTGCGAACAATGGTTCCCAGACTGTTTGAATCGCCAACGGAATCACTGAAGCCGGGTGTCTGGTTCAACTGATAGACACAACCAGCTTTCTCAGTTGTCTTCATGTCGCGCAAAGCATTCTTCTCACTCGTAGTCAAGACTCTGTAGAATTCCTCCAAGACTTTCTCGGGGTTTGATGAAAGTGCATGAGTGAAAGTCTCCAAGTCTTTAAAGGCACAAACTCCCTGAGCTTCAGATTCAGGTCTGCCTGACGCCCACTTGATTTCTTCAAACAAGTCATGGTGCTGACTGGAAAAGAAGACATCAAAGTCAGGCAGCGGCGGCAGACCCTCACCATCGCATTGAAGAAGTTGGGGCGCAGAAAAAAGACGACCAAAGATGTTCCTTGGCAGCGCCATGTCAGTCAGCAATCGCATTCACTACTTGTATAACAACACATGATAATCAATGGTCCCACACAGACAGATCGGTATCACTTGATTCAAAGGCAGTACATAAGTTCCATTAGGCTGAGAGCTGAGAGTCCATGGGCTGATAAATGCTTTAGTCTTGTACCGATGGCGCAGGATGGTGTATCGTCTCACTCGATGAACCGGCCAGCCGTTGTAGAAAGGATCTAGTAGATAACTCTCCACATGGTAAAGACCACCCAAAAGCATCAGCAGGTGTGAGGGATCAAATTCTTTCACGTTCTCATGGATTATGACCCGTTCTTGCAGTAGTAGACGATGGGCGCACCATGCTAAGAACGCAGTGTATGTCTTCCCGTTCTCGTGGTTTCTGAGGCCGCGCGGGCTGAAGTCAGTGCATGCGGTCCCTGCCACATGAAGATCTGCTTCCTCTGCCTAGCGCGCGATGGAATCTTGGTTGTGTGGAATGGGGTGGCGGCGGTGATGGTGATTGGCGATTGATGATTGCAATGACTATCTATCAATATGTACACCATTTCCTACTGAGCAAAACAATCAAAAGACTTATATCACATGACAGGACACTCTGACAGGACCATCAGTCGGAACGTAATGTCTCTCCAGTCTTTCACCTCCCTCTTATGTAGTAGTGAGCAGGGTCCATCCAGCCCACACACACACACACCAGTCCCCACCTCACAGTCTTGTCCATGCACTAGACAGAAGGCAGAGCGCTTGCATGAGTTGCCTTGCTTCACAATTTCCACTAGATGCGTATGAATCCTGTTCTGCACTAGCAGTATCAAGGCGGTCTCTGACCACGGGCTGAAAAAAGTCCAAGACATTCTTGAAGCAATGTAGAGGTCCATGTGGGTGCTGTTGAAGTTCATATTGGCATTTCTCAAGAACTTCCACAGCAAACATGTTTTTCTGATGTCCACAATGAGCATCACTTGGGTCAAGGTCAAGTTCCTGGCAAACCGACCACAACAGCTGAGATAATGCAGTGGCTGGGGTGTCCACTCCGGAGTACGCAGAAGACATGGTAGTGCTTGCAATCTTCTCTTGCAAACGGGACAACCTGTTTCTGTCATCATCACTAAGATGCTTGGCTCCACCCCCCAGTGTGCACTCCAAATGTGCGGTTGCTTCAGCGTTGATGTCAGTGGCCTGCTTCAAAGTCATGTTGCGGCCCAGTGATATTGTTGAGGCTGAATCTGAAGCTGGCAGTTTGTTCCAGATCCGTTTCATCACATCAGCCACAAAGGATGGCCAATTGAATAGCCTTTGCAACTTTCCCAATCTAGACGTCCCAGCGGTCTGGCCCAACAAGTCTACTGCCACTCTGACTTCTTCTTCTGTCCCCAGCACTGAAAGGTCAAAGGGTGTTGCCGGTGTTGCCGCTGTTGCCGGCGTTACCTCCACAAAGTCAGAGGACTCAGAGGACTGTTGAGCCTGAGAAGTCTGAGTCTGAGACTTTTGAGGAGGGCTGGGCACCGTTGCAGTTGCGTCAATCTTTTGTCGTTTCGATGGTGACTCATGCTCATGTGGTTGTGGCAGTTGTGACATCTCCACACCGGTCACAGCAGCAGTGCCGCTGTTGCTGCCACTGGACTTGAGCTCGGCCTCCACATTGACATTCGATTCTGAACGCTCAGGAGTCTCAGGAGCAAGAACACCATGGCGACCATCGCCATCAGCCGGCAGCACCCCTGCGTCTGCTGCCTTGGCATCGCAACCAGAACTCTCTGCAGCCTCATTGACTTTGGATTCCTCAGCTTCCTCCTCAGGAACATGTGTGCATTGTTCCACCTGCGGTTGCTCTGCCTCAGAAGCAAGACTTTCTGCAGCCTCTGCTGCATCCGCATTGACATTCGAGTTCAGTTCCTGGGAAGCAAGCAAACTGCCCTCAACCTCCGGCTCATGTCGGTGGTCTGCAGTGTCAGCATCAGCATGAGTCTGAGTCAGAGTCTCATGTTCAACAGCCTGACCAGCCTGTACAGGCTGTCCAGTCGGCTGCTGCGGCTGCTGGCTTTTTTTCGCTGACTGCGTCAAATCGTGTTGCCCGTTGGGTCTTGAAACAGTGGTAGCTGCTCTTGTTCTTGGTGGTGTCTTAATCGCCGCCTTTGGCTTTGGAGGTGCCTTTGGTGAGCTCGACATCAACTTGGACTTTGTCTTTACCTTTGGCGACCTTGACGGTGGAACACTTGGAGCACCTTTGCTCTTGGCAGCAGTCTTTCTTGCCGTCATCGAAGGTGGTGCAATGAAATGCAATGAGTAAGGAGTAATGACAGTTTGAGCCCGCTTGAGCCTCTTCAACACACACAACAACGAATGAACGACAAGTATAAATGACACCATATGCAAATGCAATGCATTGCACATCACTGCACATGTTCCAAAGTCTTGAGTACAAATCACAAAGAGTTAGAAGTTATAGATATAAACTATAACTACTATAAACATG